GGTGTGGATCCTCGACTCAGGGTGTTCTATCCATTTGTGTTCTCACAAAGACTGGTTCGAGACACTGCAACAGCAAAATGATGGGTCCATTCTACTGGGAGACAATAAAGCTCACAGGGTTGTTGGGAGTAGATCAATCAGAATAAGGATGTTTGATGGAGTTGAACGAGTACTGAAAAATGTCAGGTACGTACTAGAGCTCAAATGAAATCTGATTTCTTTAAGTATGCTGGAGTCAAGAGTATGCTCGTTCAAGGCAGATAATGACTGCATCAGAGTAACTAAAGGCTCTTGTGTCGTCATACAAGGAGTCAGGAAAAAGGGACTGTATTCTCTTATCGGAAGAACCGTGATTGATAAGTCCATGTACTGTTTGGACTTAGCAAACTCAAGCAAGGGTTGAGGGCCCCTCAGGGGCCAGGTGGAGGGAATCTTTACTTCGAAGCTTCTCAATTGAGGGTCAAGGTGGAGAATTGTTATTTTGACCTCCAATTAATGAACTAAGGTAAAAGAAAATTTTAGTAATGTGGTACCGCTCACCTACCACATCTCACCTACCGCACACCTTCCGCCCACCTACCTCCCACCTACCTCCCATTTAGCATTCTCTTGCTTCTATAAATAGAGAGGGTGTGAGGCTTAGGAGAGTAAAGGGAAGAGATCTTAAGCCACCACAAAAGATGAGAGAATAGCTAGAGAGCTAGAGATGATGAAAGCATCTTGAGGCCTTGTATCAAGGTGTCGCTTGAGAGGGAGGTCATAGAAGGAAGATGAGGGCTCATCTCTATGTATAAGCTATGTATTCTCCATTTCTTTTGCCTTAGTGAACTATTTGATTGATTCCCTCCCGTGGAAGTAGATCCAGTTGGATCGAACCACGTAAACGATCTGTGTTTTCTTGTGTTATTTTCGTATCATTTCTATGCCAGAAAGTAAATATCTCACAATAGTTATTATAGGCCGCAAGAAATCTTTGACAACTACTCTCTCCCGTGTTTGCTGTTTCTCACAGCACAAATCTGTTGTGTTTGTGCTGTCAAATCTTAAAGAGTTTTTCCTTGGCGGTGGTGGCAGCTTTCTAGCATGTAATTCTCATCTCGCATACCATTCAAATCTTTACTATGACATCAAAAGTGGCTCCATTATCACTTTTTAAAAGTGAAATGCACTTTTTCGTGCATAGGTTTAAAGCAAGGAAGTGCCATATATGTAAATATGATAAATACATGAGAATTATGTGCTACGTATATAAATTTTCCCCCTTTTTTTTCTAGCAACTCATTTGTTATGACATAAAAGTGAATCCCCTTAAGTGTTACTTTTGAATGTAAATTACTACCTGTGCTCATGTTTGCCATTAGGGACCTGTAAGCTTCATTCTTTTATTAGAATCATCTTTGTTCAAATACAGAATATGTGATTTTTTTTTAGTCGGTGATGGAACATTTTCATTTCAAGATATGGTTACTCATGGAATACTAGTAAATTTGCTTATGTTTTATTTTGACAAATCTACGAACAAACTTACCCTGCTTTTATTTGCTTTCAAAATCAAGTTTGGGCAGTAGACAGTCTATGAAACCCAAAGTTACAGTTGAAATAATGTAGTCCACAACGATGGTTTGTTTTCAGGTTTTGTTAGGTTTAGGCAATGCTTTCCCAACTGTTGAGCTGATTTGATCTTTTTTGACTGCTGCTATGGTTTGTGTAACCATGCATTGTTTTATTAAAGTACTCTGTATCTCCCAAGTTATGCCGTATGTGCTTAATTAATGATAAATGTAATGTTCTAGAGAAGAATGGGGGTCTAGTTATCCAAACACCTTCCCCAAAAGCAGAGAGAAAACGTAAGAGAAAGAGAGAGGGGGCGGGAGGGATCTCGGGAGGAAGAGAATGAGTGTGAGAGAGATGGGAGCAAGCATACATAGTTTTTATTTTGTCATTTGATATTGTACTGATGTAAATTATGGTGATGTGGATCCATAAGATAGAATATGAAACCTCAATTGTATATCTTTATTGTTGATTCTAAGTTCAGTTACAAAAGGTCGAAAGTTTATGTGATGTTGATAAAAAATTGTAAAATTAATGTCAAATTTAATGAATTAAATTTAAATTTGAGTTTCTGTAGTTAAGCTCCTCCACAGAGGCGAAGCACCGTAATCAAACATTGTTTTATGAGAAGTATGGGTTTTCTTTAAAAGCAACCCTAATTGACGAGCCATAATCCATCCCAATCGCGATTAAAACTAGGCTATAGTTGGCTAGGATTTCACCCTGAAGTGGTATACTTCTCTACTTAAAAATGGCTTGTTGTAAAATATAAAAAAGGGTTGTTTGATCTAAAACTAAAATTAGATTTCTTGACTTTGAATGGTAGAAATGAGAGTTAGTTGACACAAAATGTAGAGAAATAATATCACCTGTTAAATGAAGAACAATCGATGGTCATTAAGTGTGGTTATTATTTATATTATGTTGATTAACATGCTTCTTACTACTTCTAAGGCTAACTGACTGCTAAATTCTGCTACTTGCACTTTATTCTCCAGGATTTATGTGTGTAATTTTTCAATTGCCATCCTACCCAACTTGGCATAGATAACTAGTTTATTTTTCTCTGTGAATCTGTATCTGGAAAATTTCTATAATCCTCCTAATATTGAACCAAATTTGTAGTTTTGCAGTAGCATGGACCATGAGCATGAAAACTTGGAAAGTCAAAGAGGTTATCAGAGGTTTGCTCATATCTTAGTCTTTATCCACCTCCTCTTCCTTCATGCTGATTATTGTTCCCATTTTGAAGGATTTTATAACATCTTTTGAGAGCTATGGAACTTTGATAGAGGAAAAGCTTTCGTGCTTGAGAGATGTGTATGTTACATTAGTTTCTTCAGAGAAGATTCCCTGTGCTGATTTGATGTCAGCAGTTGCAAATATTCATGATGATATTATTACTTACGACACTGGTGCAAACTTTGCTTCATCTTCATAGTTATTGGATTTCTCCTCACGTTCTTGGATTTGTATTAAGAATACTGATTTGAAGTCATTTTCCTTCTTGTGAAGTTGGGCAGAGCCTGGTAAAATATAGTAGGAAATCTATGCGTTTTTCCCAGATTCATTTCTCAAATGTGGGCGTCCTTGGTGTGCCATATTGGTTAAGTTGCCCTATTGAAAGAGTTTTCAACAGGTGAGTTTTAAAAAGGTTTCCTAACTTTTTCCATTTAGTGGTGGAAGTCGTTATGAAGCTCTTTCTAGGCTAATTTTTTTTGTTGTTTTATTGCTGCAGTGGTCGCGATTTAAGACGGTCAATTGAACATGTCCGTAACTTCAGTGTGCTTCCAGGTATATAATAATACTTCTTTCTGTTCCTCCTTGCATTTAAGTCGAATATGATTTTCATTCTTATAATTTTTCTCTTCATGATATTTTGTGCTGTCAAAATTTGTTTGCATCACTGCTTGGTAACATGGCTGGGAACTGTTATTCTACTTTTTTTATCTAATGGCAAGGCTGTGTCCATATATTTAACTATTTAGATAGTGAACTGTTTGTATCATGTTAAATGTTAGGAAGATTAACATACATACCACTCAATTCTTATGTTTTTACACATCTAACACTTAAACATCAATTTTTACATATATGCTACTCTATCTATGCACGAAAAGGTGTATTTCACCTTTTAAAAGTTAAAATAATGATATTTTTTATGCCATATGAAAGATTTTGGTGGTTTAAATTTTAAAAAGTGAAGTTTAGGTGTTAGAAATGTAAATAGATAGGAATTGAGTGTATGCTTCTAAACGCTTCTAAATGTATCATTGCCGTTAGTTGCTTTATTTCTACTATTTATGATTTGTTTTGTGAACCTCCACCCCATTTACTCCTGTTGAGTTTTATATTGTCCATCAACTCTTGTTTGTATATTTTTACATAGTTTCTAGTCATTTTACTTGTGGACCTCTTTTTCTTCCCAATTCTATTCATTGTAGTCTATCTTTGACATCATTTGTCGAATGAGTGTTATTTCTGTTATTCCTTTAATATAATAATTTCCCATTATTCTATGTAGTTCGACTCGACATTTATCTTGATATTTGTTTCTTCTATGCTTAACTTGTCTATTAATGAATTTTTTATTGCATATATATATATATATATATATATGTTCATATCTTTAAGACCAACTTCAAGCACATGCTTTTTATTAATGCAAGCAAAAAAGCTCCATTTCAATCATTTGATTCTTCTTTAGCAGCATGTCCATTATGTGCTTTTGTTAAATTAAAATCAAAATGACACTGAGGGATATAATTATGAGTAAATTTTGATGACTAAAAGCTCTAATGTTGTATGGGCCCAGTATCGGGGAGCAAAATATAAAATAAAATCCTTGCTTTTAGAATGTATATAAAAATGAGTAACTTGAAATTGTAGTGAAACTTGTATGAATAAAGTATTAAATGATGTGAAGTATAGGAAGCAACAATTTGCTGATTCTATGGTACTATAAAGGAAATGTGATGGTTTGCAATACAGAAGCAGCTCCCAGTAATTGCAAAGCATATTGGTTGAATTTTGATAGATTCATCAAATCAGCAACAATGGAAGGATTCCTAAAGCCAAAACTCAATGAGTTTAGGCTAGGCACGTATGTCTTGCTATTAGTAGGGGCCATTACATACATACCACCCAATTTCCATCTATTTACTTCTCTAACACTTGAACTTTACTTTTTACATTTATATCACTCAAATCTTTTATATCACATCAAAATAACCACTATTTTAACTTTTAAAAAGTGAAATACATCTTTTTATGCATAGGTAAAGTGGCATACATGTAAAAATTGAAGTATTGGTGTTAGATATGTAAATGCATAAGATGAAGTGGCATGTACCTAAATCTTCCTTTTCACTATACCAGTTGCACTACTTGATGTTTATTTTATGTTTTAATTAACTAAATTTGTATTCCTTGCAATATAGGACGGTGTGATGTAAGGGTAAATGTAGAAATACCAAAAGGCACTGTATTAGCCACACCAGGCGTCAAGCAAGAGGATCTGCTGTTGAGGTTTCTATGTTTGAGAAAGGTGACTCACTTGAAGAGAAGGTATCACATTAAAATCTGCAACTTTCCTCCATGATACCAAAGGGCTGATTATTTCATGCTGTGTTTTTCAATAATTTGTCGCTGTTGAAGGTTGGTGTTGCTCAGCAATGGTTTGATGAGTTGGATAACCTTGCCTTTGCAAATCCTGAATTTGAAAGCCTGGAATCTAGTGATGAGGTTGATGTTAAATCTGCAAACAAAAGTTTCGAAGACACGGGGAAGGTTCATTTTAACTGTGCTGTCAATGTTAGCCCTGGTACTAGTGAGGTTAAGTTAGTGGCCTTTTTACTTCGTCTTAGCCTTTGTTTGGGGACTTATTTTTCGTACTCATTTTTGTTTGGCTACAATTTTCTTGCTGCTGCTTAGAAAAATTGTGGTGTGAATGACTTTTTGAGAACCAAATATACTGGGGCTTTTACATATCAACCACCCAAAACTTTAACGTTTTGGCCACAAACTTAAAATGTTTCAACCATATAAAATTTTATTTCCTTTCGAAACAGAAGTGGCCAATCCTTTATATTTAAAGTTTTGGATGATTTTTTTGGGTGGTTGAAATATAAATTTTGAATCCGTTATATTTAAAGTTTCGGGTGGTTGATATATGAAAATCCAAAAAAATTTTTTTTTTCTCACAACAATTCAACTACTTTTACATGGTTGCAGCTGCCCCAGACAAGCCCCACAATTTGAAAATTGTCTGAAAGTTGATCAAACATCTGCTATTTTGGTGCAGGTAGTTGTTTCCGCAGCTCTTTATTTGAAGCCAAACCCAGCATTAAGTTTCGAAGAAGCAGCGAGTTTGCTAAATTCACAGAATCATGAAAATAGAATGCTAGAGAGAGAATCCTTCAATTTATTTCTTAAAAAATGTGGGCAAATTTCCGACATAATCTTCACAAAACCGTTGCATCTAAGAATAAAGTTGGATTGTGGAGATCATCCCGCCGCTCCTACTACGAAAGAAACCATCTTGACGGACACCAGATTAGAGTTGAACGTGACTTTAGAATAATAAGGCAAATTTACATGCATACCACACAATTCTTATGTATTTACTCATCTAACACCTTAAATTTGACATTTACATTTGTGACATCTTGGTGTCATAAGAACACGCATCAAAAAGCTGAATTTCCGTTTTAAAAAGATAGTAATTGTGATATTTTTTATATGATGTCAAAGGTATCAGCCATATGCATGTAAATATCAAACCTCATATGTTAGATATCTAAATACATAAGAATTATGTGGTATGTTCGTAAATGCTCCGAAGAAGAATGGTTCCTTAGGCGCTTAATGTAGTTCGTTCTCTTTTCTCTTTATTTATTCTTTCTTCCCTTGTTTTTGAGGTGATTATTGCAAAGTTTAGGTGTTGGGTCTAAAATGTCTTCCAAGTATTTGAGAGCCATTAATTATTAAAATATTTATTCTCATCCTAGTAAAATTTAAATCATACTTGAAACTAACAAATCAAACATTTTTCTTCTTTACGTGTGCGGGTGCCGTAGCATCCTTAGGTAATATCATATTGGGTCGACCTTTTAATTAATGCCCAAATCTAAGGGCGATGTGATCAATATCAAAATCAAGCATAAATGTTTTAGGACGTATATAAGTACTCTAAAAACAATGTCACAACAATCTAAGCCACTTCCTTGATATACAAATCCCAGCCTGCTACATTTGAAGTTTAAATTCATAGGAAGTTTAATAGAATCAAGTAGTTTTTTTTATGCATCAAAATGACTTGTTGAATATTACTTAAAAATGTTTTGTTTTTTTTTTTGTTTTTGCCAATTTTGTAGTTCATAATCAACACATAGGATTGATGATGCTTGTTTTATTCATTTTGTATTCCATGCTTGCAATCTATCTTCAATGATCTCTCTCCCATTTGTCCACAGCAGACTCATTCCCTATGATTCAACCTCCATAGAATATACAACCCGTTCTATATTGCTTCATATATCACAACATAATAAATCATCCTTCCAACTTTTAGACAAACTCCTACAAAAGCCAAAATTTAGTTCACATCAACCTTTCAACTCTATTAACTAATCCTCAAAAGTACACCGTTACCTTCTCTTCACAAACTTTTTTTTTTTTTGGTTTCATAACAAATTAATTTTTAATTGTACACAATTTGTCTAATTATATGCAGACTTTCATAGTTCATTTGATTATATTTTCAGTGTTATTGGTTATATATATTGGCTTAGTCTGGAGGATGTACATATTTTGATGCAAAAAAATTGGCATATTATAATCATTTTTTGATAGCCTTATTTTTTATTCATCTTTAAATTATTCTAATCAATTAGGCTGTTAAAATTTCAATTAACTAATTATGTTGATAAACACTTTTTTTATTGATTGGAGATATAAACAATGGTTAATGATATGATCATCCTAAAGCCTATATCTATAATACTAATATCCAAGCAAATGTTGTGGCCATACTATTGCAATGAATAGGGCCGTAAACGAGCTGAGCTTGAGCTAGCTCAGGCTTGGCTTGTGTTCGGCTCGTTCGAAATAGCTCGTGTTCGAAATCGGCTCATGAACAGTGCTTTCGTGTTCGGCTCGATTTAAATATTCGTGTTCGTGTTCGGCTCGAAATTGGCTCGTTAAACTAAAATTGAGAAAAATAGATGTAAACTGTGAGATTCGAACATGGATCAAATCTATACAAAAAAAGACACTAACCACATTGCCACATGAGGTGTTATGATTTAAATTTAGACATAAATATATATAATATATTATTATATAAATAATATATGTAATATGCTGTTATATAAAATATTATATAATTTTTTTTTTCTCGCGAACACGAGCGAACAAACTGTTGTTCGTGTTCGGCTCTTTTACATTTCGAGCTTAAAAATTTGTTCGTGTTCGTTAACGAGCCGAACACTAACTGTTCACGAACAACGAGCCAAACTGACAGCCTAAGCAATGAAGAAGAACTACAATATTATGCCAATTGCCATGACTTTGAAACACAATCCATTGCCAATTGTTATGATTATAAGTATCCAATCCTAAGATAATTGCAATAGTTTATAAATATCTAACTATAAATTACTACCTTCAACTACAAACGTACCATTAATTGTTGATTCTCTTAAAGGCCATTGTGTATAATGACATATATTATTATATAAATTTATAATATCATTAGATTATCAATCTAATTCATCGATATTTGTTTAATGAATAAAATACATTAGTCTTAAGCGTGAAATTAAATGCTGATGTTATACAAGTAAAATTCAATATATCATCCAATATATCCTACTTTTTTAATGATTTAATTTTCTGAAAAAAACAATTAAATATGGTTCATAAATAAATAAATTTAATAATGAGATCTTCAACTGAAGATTATACGAGAAAAATAAACTAAACCCTAAACAATTATCTATTTCACTATTTCTTAACATATTTGTATAATCAAAATATTCCTAACTGATTTTTCTATGTGAAGATGAGATGAAATAGGTGTGAATTGGTAGTATTCTGATGGTATCACAATATCATCACAATATCACCATAATACTTCAAGAACAACATATATAATAGTAATTTGATAGTATTATAGTGGTATTGTACCACAATATCACCAGAATACCATCAATCCGCGCGTACGGTGTCCACCACAATATATCTTCCCAAGTAAGGGTGTATGAGAATAAATAAAAATATTCAAAGGCAGGTCAAAATAGTGATAGGAGATCAGTCGAGTAGCCAACATAGTGTCAATCGACCCAAATGACTACTGAACACATGCATGATTTCTTTCTAGAGGCTAAACGAAAGTAAATTGATACGAAGGTCGGGTAAACCAGAGGTTGGCCAACTAGAAGACCATCCATGTAAAAACCAACCGACAAGAGGACGATCTGTCAGATATTGAATGATCGCACGACATTAAGTCGAATGATTTGAATTGAATGATTAAAAGAGATGCACGGGTGTAATTGTCATTTCATACTATTGCTATCCATCTATAAATAGAGCAACACTAAATGTAATGAGAGTCGGTAAAACAATATAAAAGTACATAGAATAACACTCCTAAATTTTAGGTAAACTCTTTAAAAATCTTAGGGTCCATTTGGGGCAACTTATTTGGTGTTGTGGTGTTTTGAAAACGCACCTGACATGTTTGTATAAACTGTGTTTTGACATCTTATGCTTTTTCAAAACGCTGAAAACAAGATTTTCACACCGCACCTATCTAGGTGTGGTGGGAACTTTCTGACAGCGGTCTAGCTTTTCCAAAATAAAAATTTATAAAAATTTGTAATAGTCATCGCACCTATCTTATCAGTAGATTATTTTTAATAAGCTTATCATAGATTATTCAATAAGCTGCAGTTGCCCCAATCAGGCCCTTAATATCAAAATTGTTTATAATTTTGAGTCAAAATTTGATGATAAAATATGATATTTTACGGTAAAAAAATTTGTAAACTGAATATAACAAGTAACAACTATCTTTAAAAAAGAAAAGCGTAAAAAAATCCAATAAAAATAATAATAATTTATCACCGGACAATATCACCACTGTCCGGGCCGTGGTAGTTGCTTGGCGCTTACCGGTACCCTACAATTAGAACATGAATTAGCACATGGGCAAGCATGGTCTACCATATTTATGTACCTCTTTCTTATAGGTTTGTGTCCTTTCCCCTTAAGAGGAGTTAAATGGAATTGTAAGGATGATATGAATCCCTCTCTTGGCAAATAATCAAGCTTTCTTTCTTCTCTCCTCCCTTCAGCACGTGGGGTATTTTTTAATGTATAACTTAGATTCTTTTCTTTTAATGATGAGGGATCAGAGCAACTGCAATAACTAAAATAAAATTTCAAGTGCAAAATAAAAAGAAAAATATTAGTAAAATATTATTTTTTAATTGATACGTCATTAACAAATTCTCATCATCTTGTACAAATTTTGAGATGCTAAAAGAATCTCAACTCACCTCTTTGAACAAGAAACCTTCAAACTTCAATCAAAAGTCTAGAACTCCGATTTCAACAAACTTATAGTCAAATTGATCGGTTCGATGAGACAAACCTAATGGTATCAAGATTGGTCCAATAGAAACATTAAACTATATTTGAAACTTTTTCGGGCACATTTGGAAGGTCAAATGAATGTCAAATCCGACGAGTTCATAATCAAATCAAGTGTCTCGACAAGAAAAATCTAACCAGCCCAAGATCGCTCAATTCTGATATCGTTAAGGCACCCGAATATTCATCAAACGTCGTCCGATAAAGAGAACATCTCTGGGCTGTCCGATCATAGTGATTCAACTTCTCTTATTTTATTGCAGTTGTGACTCCATAAATAGATCCCTATCCCTCTATGAGATGGGAGAGAGCTTGAGGCTTGAGGAAGAGCTTGAAGCTTAGAGAATGAGCTAAGTCCAACATCACTCTTGTCGTGGTCGACTACCGCTGATCGTCGTCGACCACCACCTGCCCGCTGCCACCGCTCGCTATGTAGCCAACATAGTGTCAATCGACCCAAATGACTACTGAACACATGCATGATTTCTTTCTAGAGGCTAAACGAAAGTAAATTGATACGAAGGTCGGGTAAACCAGAGGTTGGCCAACTAGAAGACCATCCATGTAAAAACCAACCGACAAGAGGACGATCTGTCAGATATTGAATGATCGCACGACATTAAGTCGAATGATTTGAATTGAATGATTAAAAGAGATGCACGGGTGTAATTGTCATTTCATACTATTGCTATCCATCTATAAATAGAGCAACACTAAATGTAATGAGAGTCGGTAAAACAATATAAAAGTACATAGAATAACACTCCTAAATTTTAGGTAAACTCTTTAAAAATCTTAGGGTCCATTTGGGGCAACTTATTTGGTGTTGTGGTGTTTTGAAAACGCACCTGACATGTTTGTATAAACTGTGTTTTGACATCTTATGCTTTTTCAAAACGCTGAAAACAAGATTTTCACACCGCACCTATCTAGGTGTGGTGGGAACTTTCTGACAGCGGTCTAGCTTTTCCAAAAAAATAAAAATTTGTAATAGTCATCGCACCTATCTTATCAGTAGATTATTTTTAATAAGCTTATCATAGATTATTCAATAAGCTGCAGTTGCCCCAATCAGGCCCTTAATATCAAAATTGTTTATAATTTTGAGTCAAAATTTGATGATAAAATATGATATTTTACGGTAAAAAAATTTGTAAACTGAATATAACAAGTAACAACTATCTTTAAAAAAGAAAAGCGTAAAAAAATCCAATAAAAATAATAATAATTTATCACCGGACAATATCACCACTGTCCGGGCCGTGGTAGTTGCTTGGCGCTT